TTGGAGATGTGACAAGCCGGGTCACTATGCAACCTCCTGTCCCGAGAAGTCTGTGAAGAATCAAGAAACCAACCTGAACGAGACACAAGAGGCTGAGGCACTCTATGTACACGAGGTGGTGTTTTTGAATGAAGACAAGGTGATTCCGAAGAATCTCGATATCAACAAAGGCAATGCGAGTGTTTGGTATTTGGATAATAGAGCGAGTTTCAGCTGCAAGACTCATCGCAACTTAAGTGAAGAGGTCAGGAGAAGGTTCTACAAGAACTGGGCCAATTCTAAGAAGAGGCGGTACAAAAGCGAGGAGAACATCCAGTCTAACCTTGAGAAAGATGTGAATACAATGGGTGGATTCGCATACTATCGTGTGGTGAAGGATGATTACTTGAAGTTTAAGTTCAAACAAATGAGGAGCTTAATCGGAGTTCAAGAAATTGATCTCCCTAATTCAAGTTGGAATTAAGGGGGTGAATGTTGGGTAATTCCAAGCTTGTGGAAACTTAACATATTATTGGATGTTTAATATGTTAAGAGATAAACACAATAAGGAAATCTAGAAATAGGAAAAGGAAGTTTTCTATTAGATTAGGTTTGTGTTTTCCATATCCCACATGTTCAAGGGAATTATCTTGCATATAAATAGAGATCTATGGAGAGGTGTTCCATAAGATCTAAGAGAGTAGATCAATGATCTAAGAGAAACATTGTGAGCTTTAGTTTTGAGTAGTTTCTAAAGCTAATAAGAAAAGTTGTTCTTATAATCCTTTGTTTCTAGAGATTTGATACAATTTTATCAGTTGTACTAATCCTACAATTATATTAGTTGTACAGTTATACTATTTGCAAAGAACTTTCCACTCTGATGGACAATGGTGGAGGAAAAATCTGAACATGACTTTCAAGGTTGGCATGTCATAGACGGTAGATTCGTCAAGACTTTAATAAATTTGTTTATATAGTTATATTAATTGTGTTATTTTCGAAAAACATCATTTTTTGCTTTCGAAACCGAAGAAAAAACAACTGCAGAACCAGAAAAGGTAATAGAAGCAAATTCAAAAGAGTATACTATAAAAAATAATGCAGAAGTCATCACGAGATTGAAGAGAATGCACGAGCATTCATGGTTAGTGTTGTGACTAGTATTTGAACCACTTATGCTTTGTGCAATTGGAATTGTTTTGTGTTCCAAACTTGTTGTAGGTTTACGACTTGTGGTGAGTTTTTACACTTGAGTTGTGTTGTATTTTCTTTGCAAATGAGTGTTTAACTGGTATTACTAGTTAAACTAGAGTAATATTAGTCTCATTGGCACGACAAATTTAACTATGATAATAGTAGTATAACTAGTTTAACTACAACAACACTTGAATTATATTAATATTGGATGGTATGATTCTTAATTTTCGGAATGACAAAGGCGTACTAGTTGTACTAAGTATAGAAGTCTGGTATATAATGAAAAGTTATCTCAATTTTACCAGTAAACGAATGAATGATATAACTATCATGTTTAAATTGTGGTACACAATTAAAATGTGATAGACAGTTCAAACGTAATAATACATGTACCCGTTTTTGAGTTGTAAACTTGTGTACAAAGTTGTAATGGTTGTTGAGTTGTACAAGTTTGTATATAATTGTATTTTTGTAGTGAAATAAAAAATTTTGGTTTGTACCACATAAAAAAATATACCTCGGTTGTACTATTTCTATATGTTTGCTTACCTGGTATCACATGTTATGAAATTATTAATTTGGTTAAAATGCATTTAATGTATGTTTTTCAAAACATATAGTGGACAAACAACTAAACAAACATTATACATATTTATGTATAATGTAGAACATGAAAACTTATGTAATGGTCTAATAATTGCAAAAATATATTAAAAATTTAAATAGTTAGGAGATACTAATTTAGCCAACTAATTGTTTTTTTCATATGGAAAATCGAATAAAAATTTTAAATTTCTATGATAAAGAAGTTAAATTAGTTGTACTAATAACGTAATGGGTAAGACTTATTGCCTTGAGGATAGAGATGGCAAACATATTGTCCCATCTCATCCCCTATCATACCAGATTCGTCTTCAAGCAAGTCACACGGATCAGGTCTGCATGGGCCGCGATCCCTGGAATGGCTGACCAAATCCTTCCTGCCAAAAATATTGACCTTTGCTAATCGATCCGCAAGACATGAGATTACATACGGGCATACGGCTTCTGGAGGCGACGTGAAGACCAAAACCACCGTCAGAATCCACGGTCCAAGTCCAATATTGCCATCTCTAGGATGCTTGTATCAACGCAAAATATAAGTTGAGGATCATATGGTATCAATGTTTTCACTAAGGTTATCAACAGAAATATACCTCAATCAAGAGAATGAAAACCTATAAGTCACTAAATTAGAATATAAAAATATTGTGTATGACCGATATAACTGGTACAACTAGTACAAGGAAGAGAAAAATATGTATAAATGGTACAACCAAGTCTTTTTGGTAATACATAGTTGTACCAGTTTTTGAGTTGTACATGTTGAATATAGTTATATTTTGACTATGCAATTGAAAAGATTATAAGTTATACCACACACCAAAATATAGTTACATCAACTGTGCCACTTATTTGTTTGTCTATCTATATTTTACATTTTTGGATTCATAAAATTTGTATGTGTATGTTTTTCAAAATATTGTGACTAAATAAGTAAACAAACCTTAAAAGTATAAGATATATCATGTAAACTTATGTAATAGTGTAATAATTTTAAATTATAGATTGATCCGTGCACCCGTATGGATGTTAATTTTTACTTTTTTTTTATAAATTAATACCTTTATGATTAATATAATATATTTTACACGTGTCACCATATAGCTAATTGTATATTGATTATTTGAATATTTTTAGATCTTTATACATCATAATAAAATCACACAATATGATTACACTTAGCTCCCTTAAAATTATATTTAGTTTGGATATAAAATACGTGAACGGAATTAGTAATATAGTTACTTTTGATACAAATAATCAAACATGTTTCAGATATATTGGCTATGTATCTTAAGTTTTTATAAAACAGAATTATACTCATCCGGATCTGATAGAACCTGACTCAAAGTCTACAAAAAATTATATTGTTTGAAGGGAGTCTAATTTTAAAATCAAAAAATGATACCCGAAAGAAATGATTCGTATCCGAACAGATACCGATTACGTGTAAATAAAAGAAAATTTAACCATTTTAAATTCTTGTTACAAATGGAAAATTACACTAAAACATATTGAAGTATTACGATTAACATGTAAAATAAATGTTGTCGACTTATTATACTAAATATAATTAATAAAGTAAGAAATGTGGAAAATTTAAATAATGTAAAAGATGTAGTAAAACACTTAAAATATGTAAATTATGTTTCATATTAATGTAATAAATATTGTTGAATTAATTAGAAAGGGCAATAAATGAAGTTGTAAGAATTAGTTAAAATGGAAAAACAAATATGTAAAAACTAACTTAAAAATAGGTAAATACTATTTTGTACTTCAGTTTTAATATAATAGATTTTTTTTAGAAAACTTTAAATATACTAGGAGAAAACTATATGATTAC